GGAAAGTTGTCCACTAAAGACACAGGTCAAGGGCATGCAGTTGACATCCATGAAAAACATGGCGGAGTTCACCACAGTTGCCAGGGGTGGGCTGGCAGTAGTGGTGTGAGCAAGACGCTGATCGTTTGGGGAGAGCAGGCCCTCTTTTCTCAGACACATATACAATATTGGTAACGTGATTAAATTTTTCTCCAAAAGTGCTTTAAAAATGTGTATGTGCCACTTATTTAACAACTGTTTATTATGCTCAGGAACTGTGAGAAACACTGGGGGTGAAAGGTGATCAAAAAGCAAGCAAGGACCCCTTCCTTTGGAAGTTTATAGTTTAATAGTTTTATTCCTGATATTTATAACATATAAATATATATAAAATATATATTTTAACTTTTTTAAAGTCTTTTAATTTCTATCACATCAGCATAAAGAGAAAATAGCAAAAGAAATGAAATATTCCTCTTCTGCTATTCTATTTTGACTTCTACTAAATAAGTTCTTATCATATCATCATCCTAAGTCTATCATTTTTACCTTAGTTTTCTTTATGGTGTACATTTTGCATACAGCCTTTTCTGTGTGAATTATCTTAGCAAAGACTTTTCTGTGAATGCAAACATCACAGTCTTTTCCACATCACTAGCTTCAAGATGATTATCTCTTTAAATGTGGTAGCTTGGCATAAAATTTGTTTAATTATTCTTTTATTTGGGTGCATTTAGTTGTCTATAGCTTAGAAATAAGTTACAGTACCCTCTTTTCCTCTCTTGAACTATGTCTTTCAGAAATTAAAAACTTGAAATTCTATAAATGGAGTGGTAGATGTCCTATGTCTGTGCTGAGCAAGATGAGAAATAAACTGATATGTTCTGGACTCATTCAGTTTGTCTTTGAGTCCCAGCTGATGAGACAAATCAATGAAGCAAATGAGGCTCTTGATTACCTAAGTACCCAAGTGATGCAAAACTCTTTTCCTCTTCATTTTATTAAAAATATAAAACCAAATAAAGGACAATATTTCCATATGTACTTACTCATAGGATTACATGCACATGAAAAAGAAACATGAAAACCATTGCCAGGGGTTTAAAATAGCTTTCTTCAATTTTAAATAAAGTTTAAGTTGTCAAGTGTTTATGTAGGTTTACTGAATTTAAAATATAGGCTCATCGTCAAAATGATCAAAAAGCTCTCATAATATAGAAAGAATTATGTTTGCCCAATCTTGTGAGAGGTCCATTGCTGATTAGTATTCCTTCCTTTGCTGACCTCCAGTGTCTTCCTGCTTGTAAAAATAAGTATGGACTCATTGGAAGAAAAGCCTGTGTCATTCACCTCTCGGTTTATTTCTCCAGAGGGTTCTGGATTGGGGATGTGGGGGCTGATCTGAACCAAGTCCCCCGTGGGACAGTGTATAATGAAGGACAAGTAAGAGCTAACGAAGAGCAGGATACGGAAAAGCAGTTAAGTCAAGTCCTGCATTCTTCTTCTGGATTTCAATTATTCCAGGCAGTCTAGTAGATTGGGAATTACCAGCAGCTGCTCACTCGCTCACTTTCTTGTCTGCCACAGCTGCTAGCAGCTGTTCTCTCGCTCTTAGCCCACATCCAGATGCAAACAGCTGTTCGCTCTTTCTTTACAATTGTCAGCAGTGGCTTATTTTGCCCCAAACACATGGACACCTGCAGGAATAGTAATTTTACTTTTCATTTATGGAGAAATACTGAGCAGCTTTAGGGAGATTGCATGGAGGAAGGGAAAGAAGGAATGAAAGGTGATTAGCTACAGAAGGTGTCTGTATTGGCAGGCTGAAAGGTAAATGGGGTTCTTCTTTGTCAGGGGCTTTGTCTGTTTGTAACAATAGATGCCCACAATTCTTCCTGACTGTGGCATTCACTTTGGAAAGTAGGGCATGAATGGCTAACCAAACACTCAGGAAACTGGGCACCGGGAAGAAATTCAGATGGTGCTCTTAAGGCTTGGTCTTTGGTGTTTATTTCAAGAATACATCTGGACATTTGCTATATACCAATCACTGGTATAGACACACAGTAGAAGCTAAATAAATGAATATGCATTTACATTCACCAGTGAAGTCTCTGTTAATGATACTTGAGGTCACATTAAATGAATTTTCTCTGTTGAATTCAGCCTCCTCCTGGCCCCCTATAATTGAGACTGGGGACTTGCAGATTACCTCCCTAATAAATATTCCTAGTTCTCATATTGCTCTTTATTTTTGTATGGATTAGAAACAAGAAGGTGGAAATGGAGAGGCTAGGGATTTATATTTATTTTGTGCTTGCTGTATCATCACTACTGTACATTGTCCTTTGTCTAAGTCATTTTCTTTCACCTTCATCAGATATTTGTAAAACCAGCATCATGTTTTCATGTAGCTTGTGAGAAAAGGGAAGTTGGAAGCTAATCTAAAGTCATACAGCCAGGAAATAACTAAGCCAGGACTAAATACAGATTCTCCCATTGAGGGGACAGCTCTTTTCACTACTGCCCCAACTGCTTGACCTTTCTGAATAGAATACTAATTCTAGGGTAAGAGAATATTGATGGTGATAGTTGGGTTTAGTAGTGTGATTGTAGATATAATATATATAGGTTCAAAGACCAACTGGTTCACGATCGATTGGAATTGACACAGACATTGTCATTTTAAGTGGCAGGTGCTATCTTTATTAATTTTTTTTTATTAAGGTAACACTGGTTTACAACACTGTATATGATTCAGAGATATGGGTTCCCACTTCCTCAGGTGTATGTTATCATACATTGCCAACCTCCCAGACACCCATATCCTCCACCATGGTCCAGTGTACAGGCATTCTCTTAAAAGGGTGAAATGAAAGAAGAGATAATGAAAGCACAAAGATAAAGTTATCACACACGAAAAATCTCTTTATCCCCTGGCTGTTCTCTGCTGTTCTCATTTTCAAAGAGTCTTTATTTGACTGAGTTTTGGGAGGGTCTCATATCTTCATTTCACACCCTAACTCCATCCACTGACATCCAAATAATGTTAGTAATTATCCTTTGAGATACTGAGTGGTGTAGAACTGAAGGAGGTCCTAAGGAAATTTCCTATGATTTAGGGAACCATTAGAAAAAAGCCCCTTGTTCTTATAAAAATTTCCCAAACTTTCAGGGCTGGATTTCTGTGGCTGGCCAAGAGTCAGCCTCAGTTAGGGTTCTGCCAAATTGAGCATCAACAAGTCATTTGGCTTAGAAGAAAAAGAAATGAGAAACAACTGACATTTGTATACTTGAAATTATGAGCTGTTTCTCTAACAAAGAAACCAAACACTTTAGGCTTGTTTTACAGTAAACATACACATTGAACAATCTGCTTGGTTAGCAGCTGGTTGTGCATATGCAGGGCATATGTGAACACATATGGATGCATAAAACTCACATATGTTCACTTAAAAGGACACTGTCAAATCATTTTATGGCTTTTTTTGTTCTCTGAGCTGCATTGTTTATAAAATCTTCTTAGAAGCTTAAAAATACAATTTCTTTCCCTACTGATTTTGTTCTATTTTTTTAAATAAGTATTTTGAATGACACTCAAATAAATGGGACTGGTTCTATTTAATTAAATCCTACTTAAATTCATAGAACAATATACATCCAATGAGAAACAAAGTTCTAAGAGGGAGACAGTTTCTACACACATATCCTAGATATCTATCTATCTATCTATCATATATATATCATGCACACACACACATATATATATGAGACTGGTAATTTCTATTTCCTAAAATATTTTAGTAATAATCTTTTAACTTTGTTTTGCTAAGCAAAAAATTCTTCTAAAATATCTTTGTTTTAGGCTAAAGCTGTGAAAAATCAAACTAAAATGGCCAAAACAACAAACAAAAACCCTGGAAAGATGCTCAAAGTCATAACAGTCAGAGAAACAAAAAGTATAAATGATGTGTCAGTATATCACTTCCAACAGTTTGTTAACAAGTAAACGGGCTCATTATTTGTTATGTATGGACTAGATTATGATGTCAGGGTTTCAGACAAGAAATCAGCTTTATTACAAACGAATTGGCAAGGAGGTCAGAGAGAAACTCAAATCTGCTTCCCAGATTAAGAAAGGGAATATGGTTATACAGGATTGTGGGGCTGGGGTTGAAAACAAAGGAGCTAAATTTTATTGGCTATAGAGTGGATTAGGGGCAAAAAAAGGTGAACCTGATTGAAGTTTATTGGCTAGTTCCAGGGTGGTGCGTACATGAAGTATGAAGAGGTTTTTCTTCACATCACTGTAGTTTTGAATTTCCATTGATGGGCCCCTCACCTCTGGGTAACCCCACTGTCAGTATTTGGAGACTCCTGACTCTAGTGGACCTTGGAGCTCAGCTCAAGGTTAATCAATAAGCCTCCAGGCTCTGCTATATCTGTAAAAGCAAGTCTCAAAAAATTTTACTTTTTTTCCTTCTCTTTTATGTTCTCAGAGTCTGAGGTGAATTTAACCATTTAGCTTCAGTTACTAGGTTGACAAAACTATACATTCTAAGTGGAAGTGTGAGGGGAAAGACACTGTTCATTGTCAGTAGAAATGAGGGCTGAAAAGTTTTTCAAAGTATCTGGCAACATTTCTTGAAATCAAAAAGATATTTCTCAACCCAGCATTCACTTCTTGAGAATCCAAGAAAAGCACTAGTATAGAGGGCATAGACAAGGTTTCTGCAGCTATTTGTTATTTATTGTAGCAAAACAAACAGCCACTAAAAGGGCGTCAAGTGAATCCTCTTTAATAAAGGATTGCTGTTAAATAAATTAATGTATGTCTGGATCATCACCTGTTAACATAGCTTCCTGAAAGAGTTAATGAGGCAAGATATACAGATTTCTGCCCATTGCAGAAATCCTTGACTAAGAAACTTGTTATATATATTTTTCTGTGAGTTGTATATATACATCTGCATAAAGTTACATGAGGATGGCAACAAATCCTGAATGGGCACAGCATTAAGATGGCTTATCTGGAAGGGGAATTGCGGTAGGTTAGGAAGATAAATAAAAATATGAAAAGATCAGTGGAGGAAAAGCCAGTATGAAAGATAATGGTCACGTGCATGCCAAATTACCTGTATAGAAACAAAGAAATTTTTTTTATTTTTTTATTTTACAAAAGTTTATTTTTACATCATTTTGTACATTTTTTCCCCCATCTCAATTGTAATCCCCGCGGGTTTCCCATCACCAAGTCACCCGTGTGCCATCACCATAATCCCGTGCATTTCCTTCCCCACCCCCCGTTTTTGATCCCATTCCCCACTCCACCCCCACAAAATGTCTCTGGTATATGGTTGTTCATTATTTTTGTTATTTTCTCGCCTGGTCCATTATGCTCCTGCTATGAGTGAAACCATCCGGTATTTTTCGCAAAGAAATTTTTGAAAAAATAAGAAACCATTAAAAGAAAAACTCTCCCCTCTTTTAGGTTTTCCATAGATTCAGACAAAGGGGACTCTGAAAACTGGAAAAAAAATCAGATCATCGTGGAAAAACTGAAACCTGAGGTTTGGCCAAAGACCTTTATGAGTCTAAGGTTTCAGTGTTAAGATCAAGACAAGCAGGTTGTGTTCCATCATTTCAGGATACTGGTGCCACCAAGTGGTGTCTGGAGCAATTGTTGGTGGCATTTTATTATCCTGCCAGTGAAACCTCTTGCCCTACCTAGGGATTCCATGGGAGAGAGCAGTGTGTGGAGGGCACCAGCCAGTTCTCCTAGGGAGGAAGCACACACCGGGGGCCCTGACCCTCCCGGGGACAGGAAGCATGACAATGAGCAGTGTGCAAACAACTCCTGCCCTAGAACCTGAGCTTCCCTTGGTTTCTCCTGCCGGCAGGGGCCTGGCTGTCCCTGTCCAGTGTTTCTCCTGGGCTCCCAGCGGCTCTGACTTTGGAGCATACACTTTTTTTTTTTAGATTTTTAAAAATTTATTTATGCACACAGAACAGGGGTACAGGCCAGAGGTGCAGGGGCAGTGAGAGGATTCACCAGAGACAGAGTGGGGAGCAGAACAGGCAGAAGGGTGAAGTACACTGCTGAGGGGAGCAGGGGGCGGGCCGGAAGGGGTCTGTCATGCCATGTAGGTCTACTGCAGGGCTGGGGTTCAAACTCGCACTGAAGCTGCGGCGACTAACTTGCAGTGTTCCACTCTAACCCACTGTGCCACAGCGAGGGCCCATACACACTTAAAAAAAAGTTTTATTTACATATATTTTGCATCATTCTTCCTGTTTGCACAATGTATGCTTTCTTCTCTCAGGTGTAGTCCTTGTAAAACTGCTACCATCATTCCCCCGCACACCATCACCACGGTGCCTTGTGGAGCACTTTTCGTGGGATGTGTCAATTTGCCATTTAGTCCCAGGTAACCTCGGTTGTCCCAGTGTAATTGATGAGCGTTTTCTTACTCTCAAAAGTGCTCTGGTAAGGATAATACATTATGTGGCCACCCTTCCTCTTCACACCTTTGTTCCCTCGTCTCTAGTAAATGGAATAAATGCGATAGCAGAGCATAGGCATGAGAAAAGAGCTTTCTGTTTGAACATTCAAAAACCAAATGTAAATTACTTGGAATTTAGCACTCTACTTAAAATATATCTTCTGCTGTTACTTATATGAAAAATGGAGTTTTTGTTTTATTTATGCTCTAGTATAAAAATTGACCTTTGAGTTCTCGGAGTAGCTTTTTCTGTTTTTCACAGATAAGAAAAAAACAATTTGGGACCTGATACATACTGTATTCATCATGATATCCAATGAGGAGAATATTCAACCAGGTAATTAATACATATTAGGTTAAAACTAAAAGAATTAAGGTGGTCTAAACACTTATAAGATCCTTCAGTATACAATGTCCTATCTTATCTACCCAGGTTTTAGTACAGTAGCATCATTGAGTGGTCTCTGCCAGTTCAGAAAACTGAAATTTGAGTACTGCATATTGGGATCAGTATTTTTCACTTCAGCCTGCTATATTTTTGTTGTATTAAAAGGTTGAATATGTACTATTTGAATACTTTGTCCTTAACTCACCATTAACAGAACACATTGGGTGTTCCTTTCCTGCACCCACTTTGATCCCAATCAGAAAAGAATTTGAGTTCACACACCCATTTTTTCCTTACCTGATGCTTTATATATATATAATAGCTTATTTTTACATCATTTTGTACATTTTTTTCATCTCAGTTGTAATCCCAATGGGCTTCCCATCACCAAACCCTGATGCTTTTTAATAACTACTAGTTAAATACATTTTCAAGACAACTACAGTCTGAGTTCTTGCACGAAAGGGATTTTGTACTTGCCAACCTGTACAGATTTGGTGTTGTGACCTCATTACTACCGCATCACTAAATAGCTATTCATCAAATGCATGTATTCTTCAGCATATGTGCAGCTCCTTCTGGAGCTTTGTCTTATGGTCTAGACTTGAGTCATCTAAACTCCAGAAAGCTCAAGAGCAACTTAAGCTATTCTTTAGTTGAAAGTGATCCTTTTATCATCGTCTACTTATCTCTAATGTGTCTCCCCAGGTTGAAGATTGTATATGTATCCATATATACATATGCAAGTATACATGTTCTTATATGTACAGGCACACATAGATAGGCACACATACAAACACACACACTCACATAGAAGGCAACTTTAATTTGATGGACTTGAATAAACAGTCCTGTTATTTTTTAATGTAACCATTTAATGATACTTTTTACCTAATATCATCCTATATCATCAGAAGTAGAATCAAGTTTTTAAATAGGATCCTGCATTAATACACATCCTGTATTAAGGTACTTGGTTTTGTTATCTTGTTAGCTGTTGACTTTTCTTTATATATTTCCCCTTTTTTTTCTCCAAATGTTTTTAATGGATCTACATAGTTTAGATACAAGAGTAAGTTGTTTATGCCTCATGTTTGTAAGGATGGTCCAGACTGTGAAACATTCTGGAATTTCTTCCAGGGCAAGAACTGCATATAATTTAGTATGCAGGCTCTGCATCTGACTGCCTGGGTTTGAATCACAGCTCTCTTGTTTACCAGCTTTGTGACTTTGGAAAAATAGGGTAACCTCTCTGTCTCAGATTACTTTAGCTGTCGAGTGGACATAATGATTTATCTCCTGGATTTTAAGTTAATTTTTAACAGATTTATTGAAATGTAACTCACATACCATAAAAATCGATCCTTATAAAGTGTACAAGTTAGTGTTCTCTAGTATTTTTATAGATTTATATAATCATTCTCACATCTTTATCACCCCAAAAGGAAGCCCCAAACCCACTAGTAATCACTCCCATTCCAATTCACAGGATTTTATAAAGATTAAATGAAATACATGAAAAGCACATAATATAAGAGTTATATAAGTATTTTCTGTTATTGCTATTCATGACGTTGCTCTCAATATCTTTAAGATTGTCTTTGTTTCCTCAATACACTGCCTGGTGCTTGTTAGATCCTTGTTGAATAAGTAAAACAAAGAGAGTGGAAGCATCACTGTTTTTTCAGCATTCTAAATAATGATGCCTCAAGAGCCCTGCAGGAGCCTGCTTACCTAGGCAGAGGGGCGGGTTTAGGTCTGCTATATGAAAATGAGGCTTTTAATCCAATTCTGGTTGGTGGAAAGTTTGTCAAGAAGAAGTTGATCAAATTTTATTGATAGGGCTGTCCCTGGTGGTGCAACGGGTTAAAGCATAGCATTATGAAGCTCTCCGAAGCCACTGCAGCATGAGTTCAATCCCCAGCCAGGGAGGTGACCCACATAGCACGGCAGACCTCTCCTGACCTACCCACTGCTCCCTTCAGCAGTGTACTTTGTCCATCTGCCTGTTTTGCTCCCCGCTCTGTTTCTGGTGAATCCTCTCACCCATCACACCTCTGACCTGTACCCCAGTTCTGTAAGCATAAATAAAATAAATCTTTAAAAAATATATATATTGATGGGATATTGCTTGCTAGTGTGGTTTCATTTCTTCTTTGCTGTGAGGCCCCCGCACATGTCCCAGCACTTCTGGCTGCCTATAGATGCCTGGGACCTGACTGTCAACCTACCCAGCTGTTTGGCTGTTACCCAAATATTTTTTTCTTTAACGAGGATGATGTACAAACTCCTTGCCAGAACACATAATGGTCCCATGAGTCTCTTTTTGCCCATGGAATATACATCCTCAGCTCCCGTGAGAATCAATGAGAAGCACCTCACTTATGGCTTAGCAACAGGCAGCAAACAAAATGGTCCTTATTCTTCCTTGATGTCAACAATTATGGGAATCATCTCTTTAATATTAGTGTTTAACAATGGTGACATCCAAAGAATACATGCATAATTCAACACATATGAATAAAAATGAAGCAGAAACTACCCATATCTCAACCTCTGCAGTTCTTGGAAACTGCAGAAGTGTTCTATTCCTCTTGCTAAGTTAAGCCCGTTTCCTCCTTAAAATTTTCAATTTTGTGTAAAAAGAAGGAAGGATTGAAATTAATCAAAGATGATTTGTTTCAGGCACACGTTGTTCCTGTTCCTGACACACATTGTAGTTTAAGGAACTCTTAAAAACATTGTTCGTGTTCTTCTGTCACTAGGTTCTTTTAGGTCTCTTAGATGCTTTCAAAGAAGTGCTTAGTTATTGTTTTCTTTGCTTTTATGTTATCAACACCTGTTTAGTAAATTGTTTTCTTCCTTTCCTGGTTCTCTTTGGTTTATGTTGGTAAATGTTTGTTTCTGCTGACTGCAACCAAAGAAATCGGACACAAAAGTCCTTCCTGACTTGATCCAAGAGCCCATTTCTCACTTAGATTGCTAGAGTGGATACGCTTTCTCACGGCCCTTTTCAGCAGTCTCTTTCTCTTATCTGCCATTCAGTTTATGGGCTGTTGCCAAACCATGACAACTGAACTTCTTTTTGTTGGTGTCTCCCTTCTGGAGTCTCATCTCTATCTTTCAGGCTCATTCTTACTGAATTAGGTTGTTCGCGTTTATTTTAGTGGGCTTCATGAATTCTTCCTCCCAAAGCAGAACTGTGGCCATGGATGAATAGTTGTTCATGACCATGGTAAATTTATGTGATTTTAGGCAAGTTCGGATATTAATAAAAATCAACGTGGGAACAGTGCTGTGCTGCATCAGGGCCTGTGTACTTGGTGGTAATGTGTCAGTGTATAAAAAAGGTCCATGTTTGTTTGAGTACCTGCTCTTCCTGACACAAAGTTTGGCCACAGACTGTTTCACTGATAATGCTTTCTTTTCTTTCTCTGCATCATGATTTACCTGTCTTTGAGTGTGAACTACTTTTTTTTTTTTTTAAGATTTATTTATTTATTTACAGAACTGGGGTACAGGCCAGAGGTGCAGGGGTGGTGAGAGGATTCACCAGAGACAGAGTGGGGAGCAGAACAGGCTGACGGACGAAGTAACACTGCTGAGGGGAGCAGTGGGCAGGTCAGGAGAGGTCTACTGTGCCATGTGGGTCACCTCCAGGGCAGGGAAGGAACTCATGCTGAAGTGGCTTTAGCTTCTTAGTGCTGTGCTTTAGCCACCAGGGAGGGCCAATTGTGAGCTACTTTTGAAGAATATATAGAAACAAAACAAAGAAATGGAAGAAATTTAACTAAAACACACCCTAGAGAATGTCACTGCAAAATTGAGGCTACTAGAAAGGGAGAGAAGGTGGGTGTGGGAGGGACCCAGAGGTCTATGGTAAAGTACCATGGGTGCTTTAGTGTGGAATGACGGTGGCAGACCTATCCTCTGAAATTGCATATAGTGTTGTAAACCAGTATTATGTTGATTAAAACAAAGAGAGAATGAGATTAACATAATCCAGTCTCTTACATGAGATAGGCCTCATGTAATTCATGATAGCAGGCCTCATGAAATCTTCCCCCAAAGCAGAACTGTGGCCATGATAAATAATTTCTGGGAAGCCCGCTCTGTGCCTCTGTGCCAGGTGCTGTCTCAGCCCTCTCATAGGCAGCTTGTCCTGGAATGCTCACCATCTGTGGGTGAGAATTCCTACCCAAGGCTTAAAGAGGAGGATTCTACAGTTTGGGGAGTGGACATGTCATAACTGTTAGATAGTTGAGCAGGAACTCCAATTTGGCCCTTTCTATTCTAAAGGTTATTTTGTTCCTAGTGTCAACATTTGTTTTTAAAGGCATTTTCAATTGATCTCCCACTTTATTAGTGGCAACATGGCGATCAAAGTGTATTTTAAAGAACTGAATTTCTTGAGCTTTGTTCCTCCCAAAAAATATTAGTGAAACAAATGGTAGGAATTCATGCCAAACTGAAATTGGGATTATTCCTCTTATGTATTTTTCTTGCACATGGTTGATTAACCATTGCAACTGTTACATTAGGGTTGAATAACCAGTGTATTCTGGCTACAAATGTGAAAAAGTATAAGCAAAAGAATCTGCAGGGTAGTTGGTTCAGGATATCATTCCACTACAGGTTTTATTATAGCTTATTTCGAATGAAAATGGATCCTTCATACCTTCTCAATTAACTTTAGCTTTCTTACTAGAGTACAGTTGATCTTCCTGTTTAATGTTAGTTTTTATTAACACAGGAAGAACACCTGGATCAGATTTCTGTGCTATAAGCGTTGTGTAGGTAAAAAGCTCTAGCTGCCAAGCAATAAGTATGATGGAATGAAGGACAAAGACCCAGAGTCTGAGCTATGAGACTGGCAAAATCTGGGTATTTTCTACCGGATGGTTTCACTCATAGCAGGAGTATAATGGACCAGGCGAGAAAATAACAAAAATAATGAACAACCATAGACCAGAGACATTCTGTGGG